AAGAAACATATCTAAAAATTTTTGTTTTCTTTAAATTTACAGAATATTATCATTACTTAAGGGAAATGTTGTCCAAAATGTTGCAAAACATTTATTTTAAGTGCTTCTCAGTCCCACTCAAATGACTCAAAATTATTTATATGTTCAGAATTTTCAATATTAAAAAATATTCCCGAAATTGAATCCAATTAAAGTGAACGAAAAAACCAACTCTTCTTTATAATAATATAATTGCAAATCAAATAATTTGGTAAACATGTTGTTATCGTCCCATCATTAATATATTATGTAAACATCATTTAAATCTAAAGTACTGTTGATATAGTTTACAAAACACGGCAACATTTTGGTATTTTTAGCATAAAATGTAATCAATACAAACATGAATAACATTATGTGACAATTATGTCTGTATATAATGGACAGTGAGTTCTGCTTTATCTCATTATTGAAATTATGACTTTTCAGACCCGCAAAAAACATCTGACAATTCACCTAAAATATATGCCACCCTTTTAAAGAATGTCCAAGATAAAATTGTATAATAAATTTTGTTTATAAAGTAACTAATGTTGGGCATCTGAAAAGCCAGAATTTAAAAATTAAAAATGTAATTCATATTGATTTAATTATTAAAATATTTATTGACGATTAATTACCAAGGTAATCAGTTTTAAGTTCAAAAATATGCCATTATACTCTTTAAAACAGATAAGTTAAAATCTTATAGTTCTTCAAAAATTCGTGTTTAATCATTTATTTATTTATAAATTATAATGAATTAATTAATTTCTTTAGAATCTTTTAGATTTTTATATACTAAAGTTAACTTAGGGTGAATTGTAAACCAAATAAATCACAATATTAATATTTTCGTTAACTATATTACTATATTGTCTTAGTGTAGAATTCAATTCTAACTTAAATTCTAAAGATAGACACAGAATCTGTATTTATCTCATACAACAAATTCTTATATATTTTTATCTTGCAATCAATTTTAAGCCTATTAATATTGAGTAAGTTGTGAAAGAATACGGAAAACCGTGATAATATCGTTATCAAACTTTCTAAAAATGATTTATGTCGCCGTCTGTTTACAACTACGTAATTTTTACGTAATAAACACGTGAAAAAAGGCAACTCTTGTTATCACGAAAGTGATGCAAAATGTAGTTTTAATAGCATCTGGTCAAGTTACTATTTTCATACATCCTATTTTCATAGTAAACACAAAATAATTATAAACGTAATCTTGTTTTAGTAGTTGTTTACTAAACTTCCATAATATAGCCAAAAATGACAATAAAAATATTTGCATATAAATTAGCTTAAATGAGGACCATTTTGCACATTCATTAATAATTTAAAACAAACCATAATATCATTTTCGTGAATGTTTTATAAAGATATGTTTTAGTTTAATTAAAGTTTAAAAAAGCAAAAGCAAATTTTTAGTAATCAAAAGTTCGTTATTTAAAAGTTTGGTCTTTTGACAAATGCGAGACTTTCTCAGCTTTTTGTCACCACTTTCTTAGATTATAGTCAACAACAATAATGTAATACTACTTCTACTGGTATTGTATTGATACAAAACTAGGTATTTCTAAGGTTTTTCTCCTATAAAATGTTAGCGAAATGGTTGTCACTGTCTGTATGTGTGGAAAGTATTAGACTGTAAGCAAAGGAAAACATTGTTAATCTAAAGTTAAAATCACTTTAAGTGTTCTTTCCTTTACATCACATAATATTATACGATTCATTAATATTAATGTGCGTTAAAATTAAAATCGCATTCAAAATGTTAGGTATTTTTAAGAGACACTTATGAATTACAATTTGCATTTTAAAAACGCCTGAAATACTTACGATAAACTCATGCATAAAATAAAATGCTTGAAACAGAATTTTGCATTGAATATATTGAATACATTTTTGTGATTTACCATATTTTGGGATGTTTTTAAAAATTATAAAATCGATAACATATTTTTTGGTTTGATTTTTAGGTACAGTTACATCATTTTGACATTACTTATGCTATCGTTCTCACTGTTGGCCCATTGGTTGGCCTGTATTTGGTATGTGATTGCCGTCGAAGAGATAGAACTGAATCCAATCAATTGGGACGTCGGTAATGATCATTGCATTACATTCTTGTCACTTATATTATTGGTTGATGTGATGCTTACAAATTGATATTAATTGTTCATAGCTTTAAAAGTCAATTTATTATACGTTTAAATTCTTTCACTACATTTATTTCATAAATGAAATAAATTTTAATAATAAATTTATAGTGAATTTATAGCCGAATATTTGAGAATGAAATCACTTTAAAATCCATTTACATTAAAAGCCCTCAAATCATATGTTAGTAGTTTTTATATTGATTTTTAATACCTACAGAATATAATAAGAGAAAGTAAAAACTTTAGCCAAAGGCACGTAAACAGCAATTGTCTAACTCTTATAATAAAGTTGCAGTTATGTTGTGATGCTCTCCAACTAATATAATGAGTATGAAGTCCGGGGGTGGGAATCGAGGGGTATTCAACTCCCAATGCATTCGGTGTAGACATGTATAAAAAATTAAATTTTAATATTTCTTGAGATGTTTTATTTGTATTAATGGAAATGTTTTATAAATTAATGCATTAATATTATATTTTTCTGCAACATTAGGGATGTGTTGGATATCTAACCAATTATTTTACTGTTGAATAAATATTTCTTTTTGTGGGAAATATATTGTGAAAATGAATGAATAAACTAAATCTGAATTAAAGTAACAAATAGTATGAATAGTTATATGCGATTATATTGTATTTCATAAATCGCATAACTCTTAAGCATTTGCTCTTAAGTTCATTCAAACTGAAAATTTTTGTTTACTGTGCGTTGAATTCAGGTATAGATGTATTGTGTATATAGTTATAGAAAAATAGATGTTTGTATTATATTTCAACCATTTTTTGAATCGATAACTATATATTGCATGAGAATTGTATGGAGAGATAGATATAGGAATAGGTTTTTTGGGAATCATAGAAATAGACCCAAATTCTACTAATAATACGAAACAAAACAAACAAAACAGAAACAAATATATAATAATTTATTCAATAAAAATAAAACATTTTCAGAATTTTTCGTATTTATTGATGAATATATAGAATATTCTGCTTCCAAACGCCTGACGTTAAAACATTTCCATTTATACATTCATTCATTCGTGAGATTTAATAAATCTTCAGAAATATTGATGTATTTGTTTGCATACATTGAAAACAGAAATATATTTCAAACTTTTACAGCAAAATATGTTTAAATTTAAGGCTTATGTGTGAGAAAAACATTATCACTGAATCACAGAATTTGCTTTTTAAACAATATATGCTATAAATCATTAATTTTGTGAACTGAGAGAGAGAGAGAGAGAGAGAGAGAGAGAGAGAGGGACGTAAGTATTTCAGGCGTTTTTAAAATGCAAATTGTAATTCATAAGTGTCTCTTAAAAATACCTAACATTTTGAATGCGATTTTAATTTTAACGCACATTAATATTAATGAATCGTATAATATTATGGACAATATTTAATGCTTAAATAAATTATTTTACAATATAAACAGTCGTTTTGCATAATTTAAAGCAGAATTAATTCAAAAGCCAAATCTGAATCCTTTTACATCTTTAATTTTTAATCTCTTTATATATATAATAATTTTATATCAAAACTTCAAATATTTGTCTAAATGTATTACTGAGGAAAACATGTCATTTAAAGTGTCTAATATTTAGTGTTTGAAAACCTTATTCGATATCACAATCATTACAAGCGATTTTTTCTTCTCATAAAGATTATATATATAAAGGAATTTATTGTTAGAGAGAAAGAAAGAAAGAAAGAGAGAGAGAGATGTAGCTTAAATCTCATGACATTTTTTCTGTGAGAAATGTTTACATAATAATAGATTAACTATATTTTAGTTTAATTTGACATAAATATGATTGTTGTAATGATTGATAGGATGGTTACATCAGTTGAGCAGCAAATTGGGTTACGAGACGGAGACTAGTAATCTGACGGACTTTTCCTCATACATAACGGCCCTCTACTTCACGACATCCAGTCTGACGTCCGTTGGGTTCGGCAATGTGTCGGCCAATACGGACGCCGAGAAAGTATTCTCCATATTAATTATGTTAATCGGAGCCCTTATGCACGCCGTTGTCTTCGGTTTGTCCATCTGGTCATTGAATTGAGATTACATTTGACTTACAATTATATGTCAATCATAGGTAACGTGACGGCAATCATCCAACGCATGTACGCCCGCCGTTCCCAATACCAGACCCGACTCAGAGATCTGAAAGATTTTTTCAAATTACATCAAATACCAAAACCTATGCGCCAGAGAATGACTGACTATTTTCAGACGACGTGGTCTCTCAATAATGGCATCGATCACAACGAAGTGAGTCTATTATATCTTCTTCCCTATACCTATAGCTCCGGGATATACATTACATTACATGTCTGTCGTCTATGTAAATGTCAATAATATAACAATCATGTAATGCAACGCAAATACATTCAAAAATGCAATATTCTGTGACATTATTGTCAAACATTTTTATAAGTGTTAAAATTATTCATGTTTTACCATTTCTTCCAAATCTTCGTTCAATACAAGAAAGTAATTCACATTTTGCTTCAATGTTTCAACGATTCAAATAAAGTTTGAATATTTTATTTGTAAAATAGTTTCCATAGAAGTTGAATGTGGTTTATGTCTAAATTGAATTTTAATTGCAAATATCTTTGAGATTTTTTGTTTTTTTATTAAATAGGATTTAACTGTTTTGAAACAAACATTCAAATTAAAAGTCAAAAATAACTTTTAAATTTATTTCATTAAATATCAATTTAAGTCTTAAATCGATAAAAGATTCAAAATTAATTCAAAAGACGAATAGTTCTGAATGTTTTGTGTAATTAAATTAAATTTAAGAATTTAATCAATAATGAAATAAAATGTTTTTCTACTCCTTCTTAGTTGAAAAGATATCCAATAAAAAGTCTATCAAACAAATTGAATGTGGGATTTGTTTCACATCCGAAAAATACTTTCAAAGAGTGTTTCATAAGAAGAAGAATTTAATTTTTCTCTTAAATCAAGTGCTTTAATATTATATTTATTTGCAATCAATATGTGATCCGAACTTTAATTAAGATCTCTCTCTCTCTCTCTCTCTCTCTCTCTCATTTTGGCAGTTTTCTCATACAACTACTCGATTTCATATGTTTTATATTTATTATACAGTAGTTGTGTTCACGTAATAGTGAGTTAAAAACTAACAGCTAAATAGTGAATGCATGACATGAAGGCTCAAGCATTGCAAACCGTCCCACCAGTGCTTATAATTATAATTATAAGTTTGTCTAAAGTTTGTCTCAGCAGATGTTTAGTACAAAATTTACTATTTTTTAACAAAATACTCCTCAGGCTATATGACTCTCCAAGTGATAGTTTGTCTGCAATTTGAAACCATTCAAAACCATCGCATTTAGACTTCAAACAAAAAGTTATCTATTTTTTCTTAATTTTCATTTTTTCAATTTCTAATTAATTTTCTGAACACAATTTCCATATTTTTCCCATTTATTTCTTTTATAAACAGAATGACAAACATTTTGGTGAAAATTGAAATCTAAACCATAGAGCCGTAGATATACACAGATATACTGTATGTCATAATATCTGACCGTCTTATCGGAGGAGAGAGCGAAAGAGAGGAAAAATGCTATTTATTTTATAAACCAAAAATTTAATGTCAATTGAATGGCAATTTAGTGTATGATTGCTGTGAACACTAGTGAACACGAATGCATGACATGACGGGAAGTTTCCTCCTTTTTCAGGATATTTTGGCCTTTTTTCACGACAATCGCCTCAAACTCTACACAACACGCTATACACAACTCACACCGGCTTTAGTTTATACACCAATTAACTGGCAATTGGATGGGAGGACACCATTCACTCAATTGCCCAAACATTGTCGCGTTTGTGGTCAACATTTAACTAATAAATAAAATTTATTTTTTTGTCCCAATGTTTTTGTTTTGTTGCTCTTTTGTTATCTATAACAACAAAAAAAGTTTTTATTTTATAATCTATTATATTGTTTGAAATTAATGCGTTAAAAGATTATTTATTATCAATTGGTTTTGACAATTCATACGCTATATTAAAATTAACAATTTTTATAAATACCGGTTACACACCTTTTTCAATACCACTAATAATGATATTATTATTCATATGAAATCTAATGGGAAAATGGGTTTAAATTAAAAATTTTATGCGATTTTAAAACACACTTTTGGGTGCAATGAATATCACAGACGTCTTAATTCGTAATTAAATTTATAAATTTTACACCAAATAAATGCAACAAATATTAAAAGCAAAATCATAAAAATTATATTTTATTATGGATTGAATTCTCTGTGTTATAAATTTTATATAATTCTTTAAATTATATAAAGAATTTTTACTAAAAATAAAATTAATTTAATAAAAATTTTCTTTTGCTTGAAATCGATTCAATAAAGTTGTTATTTGTCATGAAAATGATAAAAACGAGTTAAGAGTCAAATATAAAAAATTTAATCTCTATTCCGTGGAAACCATTGGCCCACAGGTTTAAAACATATGCTTTTAAATTATAAAAATATATTAACAGCACAATAAAAAAGCTAAAGAAAATATCTGGAGAGAGAGAGAGAGAGAGAGAGAGAGAAATGATACTTAAAATCAAAGACATTAGTATTCATAAAGAGTTGGATATCAGTTGGAGGGAAAGAAATACAGGTTTTTTGTGATAACATAAAATCGCAAACTCCCAGCGCTTTTAAGATCATTAACATAACACAATTAATGTCAATAAATAAATAATAAATTATATCGTAAAATACAAACTCTTCATAATTTATATCTTTTCTAAATAAAATTGATTTCTTTCACTAAAAGTACTTTTTATATATCAATATCTGAAGTACTCGTCAATGAGAGGACGACAATATTCTGAGCGCATTAAACATTTGCGACAAATATTTGGATTTGGTTTCTCCCAAAAACACTACACATATTTGTAGTCCAAGTATTTCCTTAAAAGTTATCTCAAATTGATTTTTATAGTCAAATACATTGGTCTTCGACTGCAATCATATTACGGGTGGGCTCTGGCTTTCAGACGCTTGTAATATAACGTATATTTTTGCTTCACATCACTAGCTATTACTGCCGAACCGATAGCACCGACAAGAATGGGAATCCAAGCCATTTGAATGTCTTATCTCATCGACAAATGTCGTCGACGAAAGGCGCCCAACACTTGACTTCAGAATATTAGAGAAAAAGATATTTTTGGGAACAAAAAAGTATTTGCATTAATAATAAGCAAAAAGAATATATAGTTATTTGAGAATAACTTTTAAAAACAGATGCCATCAGTACTGCCACTGAATTACTGTATTCTGTATTATATTTGACTCGTATTTGTGATCTTTTTTTCTTCTGTGAGTCTCGTTGGCTGTCCTCTCAGTGTCTGTTGATTATAGACTATAGACTCTGAGTTAAGTGCTCTTAACTTTTAACAGACATGTCATTTGACTTCGCTTTCACTGATTTATTAGAAACAATTTTTTCCCGTAAATGAATTGCACTTCAGTTTCATTTCTCACTCATACGGTTCACAGTCTCTCTCTCTCTCTCTCCCTTCTGTTATTTAACGCACAAAATGTTTGAAAATATTGTTAATTTGATCGCATTTTCCTGATCTGGAGCTCAAAACTATGAATTCATTGTCGATAAATAAAATCTAATTTAGTTGACATTTTCCTCATTTCTCTCACAATTCCCTTCCCTTTCTCTTTCGCTTAAATATTGTATGACTTTTACTCTTGTATTAAATGAGAAATCGATTTACAAAAAAGTGCAGTTAATCTAAAACTCTTAAGAGGTTAGCAGTTGTTATCCGAAGAGTTAATCTTTTAGTAGATGTTGAGGAATGTTATTGAGAGTTGATTTGATTAATTCATAAATATTACAAACTTCAATAAATTTCGGCACTAATTATAGGACACAAATGTATACCTAATTGTGTAATGAAAGTGAAAAGTGAGGGAAAATCTATTTTGTGTTCTTCTGGTTCGTAAGGAATTCACTACAGAATCGATGCCTTCAATTAAGACACACAACAGAAAAACTTCTCTTTAAATACACTCGGGATGTGATGCTGAAGGAGTGGGAGTAGGGAGAGAGAGAGAGAGAGAGAGAGAGAGAGAGTTTGAAAAGAAAATTGTTTCTGTAGTTGAATACACGGGTTAGGCATTAGTGATAAGTTAGCCAAACTCTTGTCTCCCATTAATACTTAATATATA